GAACCACCTGCTGAACTACTACAAGGAGCAGAAGGTGCTGGTGGAGGGGCCACTCAACAACCTGCGTGAGAGCCTCATGCAGTTCAGCAAGCCACGCAAGCTGGTCAACACCATCAACCCGGTGAGTGCCCGCAGGGCAGCGGGGGCACGGAGAAACCCGGGCCCAAAACTGCTGGGAAGGTGGCACAGGGGCCCACGGTGCCCGTGAGCTGAGTGTGGGCAGCCCACTTTGTGTCTCCCGAGCTGTGTGTGGCATTTTTGGTTTGGGGCTGCTAGGTCCTGAGAGGCTTCTGGGAATTGGGCTCTACCTTCTGGGAACTGTGCTGCAGCAGCCTGGGACCTCGGACATGGTTTGCGAGCCTGGGGTGCTCTGGTGATGAGGGGCGTGGCGTGAAGCTGCCTTAGCCGAGTCCCAGGGGTCAGCGTCAGAGCCCAGGTCAGGACAACAGGGCAGGCCGAGAGCCCATGAGACAGCAGCTCCCTCCTTTCCCCAGAGAGAGCCCCTAGCACAGTGTCAACACCCACAGCGGCACACCTGCCCCCTCCCAGGCCACTGGTTGGTGGGAAGCTGTTCTTCGTGTTGAGATGACAAATTCCTCACCTATCTAAACTTTTGCAGGGGGCCCGCTTCATGACCACAGCCATGTATGATGCCCGGGAGGCCATCATCCCCGGCTCCGTCTATGATCGGAGCAGCCAGGGTGAGTCGCTCGGCAGGGGACCCAGGCGGCCCCTTTTCCCCCCACTGGGATGCTGGCCGTTCCCACAGCTGCAGCTTTGGGTGTCCCCCTTTCCTCCCCCTTGAGGGTGGGTTCTGGCTCCCTTGGCCTCCCAGCCCCCAGGGCATCTCTAGCCCCAGAGCACCCCGGGGCGTGCGTTTGTCGTTAGCCAGAGTCCATTCATCAGTGTTTCCTGGTGATGGAGCTAGTTAGCTTTTTCTTGCTTTTTGGTGGTGGTAGGATAGGGGCTGCATGTAGTACAAATAGAACATTTTCATTAAAAGGATTTTTTTTTTGGTAAATGGAGGGTGCTTTTAATTTATTTTTTTGTTTAGAGACAGGGTCTCACTATGTTGTCCAGGCTGGTCTTGAACTCCTGGCTCAAGCAGTCCATGCGCCTCAGCGTCCCACAGTGCTGGGATTACAGGCGTGAGTCTCTGTGCCTAGCCAATTTTCAGGGGTTTTTTTGTTGTTTGTTTTTCAGAGTCTCTCTCTGTCACCCAAGCTGGAGTACAGTGGTGCGATCTTGGCTTATTGCAACCTCCACCTCCTGGGTTCCATCAGTTCTCCTGCCTCAGCCTCCTGAGTAGCTGGGATTACAGGCACCTGCCACCACACCCAGCTAATTTTTGTGTTTTTAGTAGAGATGGGGTTTCACCATGTTGGCCAGGCTGTCTTGAACTCCTGATCTCAGGTGATCCACCTGCCTTGGCCTCCCAAAGTGCTGGGATTAATAGGCGTGAGCCACTGCGCCCAACCCCAATTTTCAGCTTTTTTTTTTTTTTTGAGACGGAGTTTCACTCTTATTACCCCAGGCTGGAGTGCAATGGCGCGATCTTGGCTCACCGCAACCTCCGCCTCTTGGGTTCAGGCAATTCTCCTGCCTCAGCCTCCTGAGAAGCTGGGATTAAGGCATGTGCCACCATGCCCAGCTAATGTTTTGTATTTTTAGTAGGGCCGGGGTTTCACCATGTTGACCAGGATGGTCTCCGTCTCTTGACCTTGTGATCCACCCGCCTCAGCTTCCCACAGTGCTCGGATTACAGGTGTAAACCACCGCGCCCGGCCATTTTCAGCTTTTAAGATCTGTGTAGGCCAGTGATTCCCAGCAGACTCTCCTGGGGGAAGGTGATCCAGTCCAGGCAGGCTGCTGTAGTCAACATGGAGTCCTGCGAATCTGCATCTTCAGCCTGGAGGGCCAGCACACATGTGCAGCTCCGGCTGACTGGCTGATGGGGTGGGTGGGGACATCGCCGAGGTTTTACCAAGGCAGGTGATGCCTGACTGTGATTTGCAGGCCGGCCCTCTAGCATGTACTTCCAGACCCACGACCAGATCGGCATGATCAGCGCTGGCCCCAGCCACGTGGCCGCCATGAACATTCCCATCCCCTTCAACCTGGTCATGCCGCCCATGCCGCCACCCGGCTATTTCGGACAAGCCAACGGGCCAGCTGCAGGTGAGCACCTGTGGCCTGGGTGTGGCCCTCCTGAGAGCGCCTGAGGGTGTGCTTGTCTTCCAGGCCCTGGCCTCCTTCACATTACCCTGGACTGCTGTCTTTCAGGCCGAGGCACCCCGAAAGGCAAGACTGGTCGTGGGGGACGCCAGAAGAACCGCTTTGGGCTTCCTGGGCCCAGCCAGACCAACCTCCCCAACAGCCAAGCCAGCCAGGATGTGGCATCACAGCCCTTCTCGCAGGGCGCCCTGACGCAGGGTTACATCTCCATGAGCCAGCCCTCCCAGATGAGCCAGCCCGGCCTCTCCCAGCCGGAGCTGTCCCAGGTCAGGCCGCCCCACACAGAGCCCTCTCGGAGCTCTCTGACAGGACCTGCGGGAATGAGGGTGGGGCTGTGCACCTGGAATATTCCACCTGGAGAGCCCTGGAGAGCTGGTCTGGCGTGTGTCCCCTGTGCAAGTTACCTGTCCCTGAGCTGGGGTCAGCGGAGTGGTTCTCTGGCTCTTAGTTTGGGGACAGCTTTTCCATTCTCTCAGGCTGCTTAGGGCTGTTTGGACGTGAGCGCCCTTGGCCAGTGGCTTACTCACCTCCCCACCTTGTCTTTCAGGACAGTTACCTTGGCGACGAGTTTAAATCACAGATCGACGTGGCGCTCTCACAGGACTCCACTTACCAGGGAGAGCGGGCTTACCAGCACGGCGGGGTGACAGGGCTGTCCCAGTATTAGAAGGCAAGCCCCCCGGAGCAGGCCTGGCCCCGCCTGGCTTCAGGGAGAGGGATGGGAGCGGCTCTCCCCAGGGAACTGCACTAGAGGGGTGTTGTCTGGAAATGTGTGCGGGGCCCGGGGTGTGCTCAGCCTGTGACTTCCACTGCCAGTCAGGGTCGCTCCCTGTGTGTCCCAGTCACAGCCCCACTTTCCCCTTGAGAGAATTCTAGGGCTCCCCATGGAAAGGGGTGTGGAGGCCCTGAAGTTCCCATGGTGGTCCAGGGCAGGAGGACGATGATGGGCCCCTCCCCCACCCTGACGGGCAGCCCTCTGCTCGCAGGACCCCTGCGGGGCCTCGGTTTCCTCCTCAGAGTGGGGGAGGGCAGCTTGGGCCCTCCCTCATTGGCCTGTGTGCTGCAGGCCCGTGGGGTGCCAGGTGCAACCTCTCACTGCCTCCTGCCCTTCTCCCTCCCTTCAGGTGGCGGCGGAAGAGCTAAGCAACGTGGCTTAGTCCATCAGCATCTTATTCTGGGTAATAAAAAATAAAAATAAACGGATACCTGTTTTCCACTGCTAAAACTGAAGCACCACTGTGAGCGACAGGAAGGGAGAGCGCACGAGGGAGAGGAGCCGAGGCCGAGCGCCCCCTGCTGGCCCGCGGCGGCGAGGAGCAGAGGGAGCGGAGGAGGGGCCGGCCCGCGGGAGCCGCCGCCACCAGGAGGCCCCGCTCCGTCCCACCGGGGCTGCGGCCAGGGCGGAGGGAGGAAGACCCTCATCTCAGAGTAGCCCTTTCCTCTGTTCTTTTATTTCTTTTTCTCTTTGATTGAAAGGGGACTACGTCTTAGCAGGAAAAAACTTCGCATTTCTGTGCCCGAGCAGGCTCCTTCCAAAGGCCACGGCGCCCAGGCAGAGCCCCAGGAGGGCGCATCTGTCCACGCCGACCGGACCCGCCGAGGTCATGCTGCCTGTTCTCAGAGGGCCTTCATTTAAAGAAATTAACGGTGTTTGGGGTTTTTCTGTTTTTTTTGTTTTGTTTTTTCCTCAAGATTCTTTTAAAGGAGTACTGAAAAATACTTTCCTAAGTTTATATCTAAACTCTTAGCGGTGGACCTGGGAGATGCGAGAAGCTTCCAGAAACACAGTTTAAACAAGCCAGCGCCACTGGAGAAGAGGAGCAACACCTGTGCCTAGGCCCAGAGGATTTTTGTTGTAGGTTTTAGCTTCCAACGGCTTCAAGAAGCGGGTGATCAGGCCGCTGGGGTAGCTGCCTGCCGAGCCTGGAAGCTGCTCGTTCTCCGCTGGACTCAGAAGCCAAGCTGCTTCCTGCCCGGACTCCGCGAAGGGCCCTGCGCCTGTGAGGAACGTGCTTTTGGCCTCACTGAGACGCGCCTTGGCCAGGACTGACCCTGTGGCCAGGGGCTGAGAATGTGGCTGTTCCCGGATCGATGGCTTTTTCCCAGGGTCCTTCGAAGGATTTGGTGGAAGGACAAGAGGGCCTGTCCCCGTCCCCAGCAGGTACCACAGTCCTGCGCTGGTTAGACACAGGGCGCTACACAGCACTCCCCTGAAGTGGGAGCTCTGCCTGTCAAGCAGCTTTGCTGATGGGGCCATGGCTGCCGCTGGGGTAAGGAAACAAGTCACAGAAATCACGTTCTGTGTGAGAGGCTGGGAGTGCGGGGTCGTTTTAGCTGGCAGAGCTGCTCCAGCCCCTCCAACACCTAGCTTGGGGCATCATTCTGCCTGGTGGCCAGGCCTCCAGCCTCCCCCAGCCTGGGCCTGGGGCTGTCCCTGGCACTGCGCTGAACACCTCCAGGTTCCCGCTTCTGCATGGGACAGACGGGGACGTACAGGCCGCCTTCTTTCTGGCAGGGACTCGTATTTATTCCCATTGCTGTAGGGCTTTCGGTTTCCCCTTCTTCCGGTAGGCCGTGTAGAGGCACAGACCCGGCTAGGTTTCCGCTGTGACCCTGCAGTGGCCTGAGGGGCGCTGCCGCCCCACCCCAGCTGTTGGGCTGGGCCCCTTTGCCTCTGCTTCGCCCTGTGCTGTGTTCTCCAGCTGTGTAGCAGCAGCCACTGACCTTGACAAACCCAGGCGCACTGTACCAAGGCAATGTAACTCTTGATTTTTGGTCAATTTAAATTCTTTTGTCACCAATAAAATATTAATAAACAGTTTTGCCTACACACCAAGGGCTGGATGAACTGCCGGGGACGGAGGGGGCTGGGGCCCCGCCTGGGTGAGGGGTCGGGGTATGAAGGAATCCAGAAGAAGACTGAGGCAAAGCCCAGAAAGGACACGGCTGCCTGCAGGACTGAACAAGGGCGACCCCTGCTTCTGGGGCCCTCCCGTGGGCAGCACCTGGGCCTATGGGGGCTGCTTCACCTTGGGCCGGAGGTCACCACCCCCACCCCCAGGCAAGGAGTCCGAGGAGACCAGCAGAGCAGACCACGGGGGCGTTTATTGGGCCCGCGTTCCTGCCTGCGCCTGGTTAGCGGCAGCCACACTCGTCCACCACCATGTCCTCATACTGCCGCAGCACCACGTTATCGCTGTTGTCAAAGAAGAGCACGGAGATGGGCGACAGGCGCGCGGGCACGCAGCAGGGCAGGTCGGCGGCTCCCGGGGCGGCTGCGTGCATGAGCGCGCGCAGTACGGCGTGGTTGAGCGCAGGCGGACCCCCGGGCCCAGACAGCGAGGCGGGCAGCGAGCACTGACCCTGGCAATAGTTGGCCAGGAAGCCGCGCGGCGCGATGACCCAGTGGTGCCAGCCCACCTCGCGGAAGCTCACGTATAGCCGCCGTGCACGACACGCGCCCCCAGGACCGCCGCCCAACACGGGTTCGGCGCCGCGCCGCGGCCGGGCAAGGGGGTGGCATAGGCGCGGGTCGAGGGTCACCAGCAGCAGCGAGGCCTCGGCCAGGCGCGCGCAGACCGCAGGGACCCGGGGGCGCAGCGCCAGCGCCAGGCGGAGGCTACGCGGCCACGAGGCATTGCGATCCCAGGCGGCGCCCAGCAGCTCTGCGCGCACCGGCAGCCCCAGGGTGGGAACCGCCTGGCGGAGCAGCACCGGCCCGGGGCTCGCGCCTGCGCCCTGGCCCGCCAGCGCCACGCTCAGCTCCCAGCCGCCCTCCGGAGCCGCCGCCGCCGCGAAACGCAACTCCAGGCGGGCCAGGCTCGAGCGCTCAGCAGGTTCCACAGCCGACAGGTCGAAGACGACGGTCCACTCGGGGCAATGCCCCGCGGCCGAGGCAGGCTCCGGGGCCCGGGTGGGCGCACCTGGGGAGGCAGGGACAGGACTCAGCTCACGCTGCGTCCCGGGCCTGCCTATGGGGTCTCAGTTGGGGACAGGCAGGAAGGTGAACGGTGGCGCTGGGGGTGCACCGTCGGTGGGAAAGGTATGAAGCGGCGGGGCGGGCTGATGGAGTGGGGGCAGGGCGTGAGTTCCAAGGAAGGCACCCTGCGGGGTTCGGGGGTGGGGGCGGGCTGGCCTCCGCGGGGAACCGCAGTGGCTCACTCCTGTAATCCCAATACTTTGGGAGGCTAGGCGGGTGGATCATTTGAAGTCAGGAGTTTGAGACCAGACTGGTCAACGTGGTGAAACTCCATCTCTAGGAAGAGGGGTGGCCGAAGTGGGAGACAAGAGCCAGCGCCTGGGCCCCTGGGGAAGCCATGCTGGGGTGTGGAGGTGGCATCTGCAGGAAGGCATTAAAGGGTGTCAAGTGGCAGGGGTGGGGATGGGGTGGGGACGTGGTCTTGGGAACCCCTTGGCATCTGCAGCAAGCAGAGGACGAGGAAGGGGTAGGGTGAGGTGGCCCAAGTTGCTAGCAGCCTGGACGGGGCGGGTGGGGACTCTTGGAGCCTCTCGGGCACCCCCGCCCTGGAAAGTCTGGTTTCCGGGACCAGTGTCCCCAGCGAAAGTCCCACTCACCTCGGTCCGGGATGTGGCGCACAATGTTTCCGGCGACCCCCAGCTCCTCTACGTGGCACGGTTGCCGGGTGACCCCTGGGGACGTCCGTCGCGAGCCCGACCAGGTCTCTTGGGGGTCCCGGCGTCGAAACAGGCGCCACATGAGCGGGGGAACAGGACGGAGCCTGGGGGCGCCCTGGGGCGCATCGTGCAGTCCGAGAGCCTGGAGCAGGGCGGCGGTAGCGGGGCCTGAGGGCACGTGGGCGCGGGTCGCGGGCAGCGAGGGCAGCAGCAGGGCCAGGAGGAGGAGGTGGTGGTGGTGGTGGTGGCAGCTGGGACCTTGCCGAGGCGGTGGCATCTTCCTTCCAGGCGATGGACAGTGTGTGTGCAGGGTCCACCGCGGCGCGGGACCAGTGGGCTGAGGGCGGGGCCAGTGTTCCTAGAGGGGCAGGGGGTCCTGGGGGGCGTGGCCGGGGAGTAGAGGCAGGATGAGGCGGCGGGGGTCCCAAGGGAGGTGGCTGCGACCCTAGAGGACCAGAGGTAGAGGAGGGGGTGGGGGAGCGCCACGGATGGGGGCGTGGTTTTCGGGTGGGGCCGGGTCCACGGGGGCGGGGCCTAGGGGTTCAGAGGCGCTTGTCCTTCACCAGGCCGTTCCTCAGTGGCTTCCTGGGGGCCAGAACCAGCGCAGGTTAGCCTGGGAGCCCCACCCAGCCGCCTGCTCCTCTGTCCCGCTGCTTCCCTGGACGTTTCACACACCCCCATCTACTTTTACCCAGCCAAGCCCGGCCTCACCTTGTGGTTTCCTCCTCTCCTTCACCCTGCCCCGTAGGCATGTTTACCCTCCTGGCACCCTGGCACTTCCTCCTTGCTTCCTCCTCCCTAATTAACCCTCACTCTTCCCCTCCTCCCTGCCTCTCCAGGCTGCTGGAGGGCAAAAGCCACCCACCAGCCTGGACCTGACAACTTCACGGCCTCTGCCACACGATCCTCCTCTCCTCTGCTACCCCACCCCACGAAGGCTAGTCCTTGGCTCCAGTGGCCCTGGCTGGCATCTGATGTCCTCCCTACTTCCCTTCCATGGCTTTTTTTTTTGACTGGGTCTCACTCTATGGTCCAGGCTATAGCAGTGGCATGATCATAGCTAGTTGTATCTTTGACCTCCAAGGCTCAATGGATCCTCCCACCTCAGCCTCCAGAGTAGCTGGGATTACAGGGGCATGCCACCATGCCCAGCTTTTTGGTTTGAGTCTCGCTGTCGCCCAGGCTAGAGTGCGGTGGCACTATCTCAACTCACTGCAACCGCTGCCTGCCAGATTCAAGCGATTCTCCTGCCTCGGCCTCCCAAGTAGCTGGAATTACAGGCACCTGCCACCATGCCCAGCGAACTTTTGCATTTTTAGTAGAGACAGGGTTTTGCCATATCAGCCAGGCTGGTCTTGAACTCCTGACTCAGGTGATCCCCCTGCCTCGACCTCCCAAAGTGCTGGAATTACAGCTGTGAGCCACCACGTCTGACCCCAACTAACTTTATTGTTTGAGACAAGGTCGCTTTGTTGCCCAGGCTGGTCTCAAACACCTGGGCTCAAGCAGTCAGCCTGCCTCTGCCTCCCAAAGGGCTTTTGTCACTTTAATTTGCTCCTCCCTTAGGTGGAAGCCCAGCTTCTCTGCATGCATTTCATAGCCAGCTAGCTGTCCCCATCTGAGGGTCCTTATCTGAGACGAGATAAGCCCTGCTTGGACCTCCCATCTGTCACTTGTCTTCTGACTTTGCCCGCAGTCCTTGGGACTGTGAGTGGTGGGTCTTCATCCACCCTTGTGGCTTGTCAATTCTTCCCATAAACAAACCTCTGTGACACAATCTCCCCTTTTGGCTGTGAGGTGACTTCAGGGATTCCATTTCTGCATTGACACCTTTGGTACAACCGGTGGGTGGGGGGTTTGCCCTGGGGCTTACAGGAGACAAAGACACGCCTTCACTGTGTTTTCCAGATGGCCCCCATGTGTCCTTATTCCTGCCCTCCAGGATGGTCTTTAGTATTTGCTAAAGGTTTTGAGGTCTTATGCTAATTTCTCAACTCAGTTCCCATGGAGAGTGTAGATTCCTCTAATGGTAAAGTTTAGCATCTTCGGTGATGGGCTTTCCCGCTCCGGGGCTTTTTATCAGAGCTTTCCTGCTGATTCTTGTTTGTTTTTTCTGCACAAGCTTCAAAGTGTTCCCTACCCACTCAAAAGCAGCTGTCAGTATTTGCCTTTTGGGGTATGGGTGGGGGTATACCCACCTTGGGGAAAATAGCTTTTCTCTTTTTTTTTCAGACAGTCTCGCTTTGTCACCCAGGCTGGAGTGCAGTTGCACAATCTCGGCTCACTGCAGCCTCTGCCTCCTGGGTCACTAGCAGCCGGGATGGGACAAGTAGCTGGGATTACAGGCACCCGCCACCACACCCGGCTAATTTTTGTATTTTTAGTAGAGACAGGATTTCACATGTTGGCCAGGCTGGTCTTGAACTCCTGACCTCAGGTGATCAGCCTGCCTCAGCTTCTCAAAGTGCTGGGATTATGGGCATGAGCCACCAGGCAGCCAAGATGGCCTTACTCTGATTGACACCTTTCGGCTTCTATCCAGCACTGTGGCGAAAAGAGTCACAGCGAGGGTGCAGAGGGGGAATGATGACGCAGGCACTTTCTAGACATTTCTTCATAGATGAGGAAGAGAGGGAGACAGAGGAGAGGGGCCCCCTGGGGTCTTGCAAAGGTTTTGCCTGGAACTGCTGTCCACATTGATAGACTGGCGTTCCAGAGAGGGAGTCTGGGGTGAAACTGGGGGCTGCTTTGGGATTTTTTTTTTTTTTTTTTTTTGAGAGTCTTACTCTGTCGCCCAGGCTGGAGTGCAGTGGCGCGATCTCAGCTCACCACAACCTCCGCCTCCCGGGTTCAAGCAATTCTCCTGCCTCAGCCTCCAGAGTAACTGGGATTACCGGCATGCACCACCATGCCTGGCTAATTTTTGTCTTTTTAGTAGAGACGGGTTTTCACCATGTTGGCCAGGATGATCTCAAACTCATGACCTCATGATCTGCCCGCCTTGGCCTCCCATAGTGCTGAAATTACAGGTGTGCGCCACCTGGCCTGGCCTTGATTTGGGATACTTTAGAAGATGCTCGAAATGTCAAACGCAGAAGATGGAGAAAGGCGCTCAGGGGAGCTTCATGAGCTGGGAGAGAAACATGCAAGCTGGTATGGATTAAGTGTGGGCAGAGAGGCCGGGCGCAGTGACTCACGCCTCTAATCCCAGCACTTTAGGAGGCCGAGGCAGGTGGATCACGAGGTCAGGAGTTTCATACCAGCCTGGCCAACATGGAGAAACCCCGTCTCTACTAAAAATACAAAAATTAGCTGGGCATGGTGGTGTGCTCTTGTAATCCCAGCTACTCAGGAGGCTGAGGCAGGAGAATTGCTTGAACACGGAAGGCAGAGGTTGTGGTGAGCCGAGATCGCACCACTGCGCTCCAACCTGGGCAACAGAGCAAGACTCCATCTTAAAAACAAACAAACAGGAGGGACGGTGGGGGGTGGGGAGCTGGGGGGGGATAGCAGGGGGAGAAATGCCAGATGTAGGTGATGGGGAGGAAGGCAGCAAATCACACTGCCAGGTGTGTTCCTATGCAACAATTTTGCATGTTCTTCACATGTACCCCAAAACCTAAAATACAATAAAATAAATAAATGGGAAAACAAACAAACAAACAAACAAACAAACAAATAAATGTGGGCAGAGAAAGGTCTCTGGAAGAGGAGGAGGTCAGCCAGGAGGCTGGAGAGACAGAGCAGGAGTGCAAGGCAAAGAACGGGCATCAAGGACTGGGCGTGGTGGCTCACACGTGTAATCACAGCATTTTGGGAGGCTGAGGTGGGCAGATCACTTGACCCTACGAATTCGAGATCAGCCTAGGCTGAGAGATCAGCCTGGGCAACACAGTGGGACTCCATCTCTACAAAAAAATTAAAAATTATCTGGGGCCGGGCATGGTGGCTCATGTCTATAATTCTAGGACTTTGGGAGGCTGAGGTGGGCGGATCACCTGACGTCAGGTGTTCAAGACCAGCCTGGCCAACATGGTGAAACCTCATCTCAACTAAAATGAGGGAGCTGCCGTGGCTCAGGCCAGTTGTCCTGGCGCTTGAAGAGGCTAGGCTACGAGCTCAAGGCCAGACTGGGCAACATGAGAACCAATCATTCATTTATTTATTATTATTTTTTTTTTGAGATGGAGTTTCACTCTTGTTACCCAGGCTGGAGTGCAATGGCGCGATCTCAGCTCACCGCAACCTCCGCCTCCTGGGTTCAGGCAATTCTCCTGCCTCAGCCTCCTGAGTAGCTGGGATTACAGGCACGCGCCACCATGCCCAGCTAATGTTTTGTATTTTTAGTAGAGACGGGGTTTCACCGTGTTGACCAGGATGGTCTCGATCTCCTGACCTCGTGATCCACCCGCCTCAGCCTCCCAAAGTGCTGGGATTACAGGCTTGAGCCACCGCGCCCGGCCGAACCAATCATTCATTAAAAGATAAATAAATAAATACAACAATTAGCCGGGCATGGTGGCACACATGCCTGTAATCCCAGCTACTTGGGAGGCTGAGGCAGGAGAATCGCTTGCACCTGGGAGGCGGAGGCTGCAGTGAACAAAGATGCACCACTGCACTCCAGCCTGGGCGACAGAGTGAGACTCTGTCTCAAAAAAAAAAAAGGAGTGGGGAGGGGACCCTCAGGGGTTAGCACCAAGAAAGCCACAACGGGGCAGGACAGGAGTGGTTGCGGGGATGGGGGGAGGAAGATCAGGCACTGCTGGGTTTGAGGGGGACCCAGGAGGATCAAGGAATTCTGCAACAAGGGAGGGAAAGAGGCTGATGAGGCTGGTGGAGAAGAAGAGAGAGTTCACTCCTGGCTTGAAATGTCCTTGAATAGGCCAGTTGGGCGGACGTCCCTAGCCTCAGAGGGAGAGGGACTGTCGTCCACTGTAGCAGCAGGTGGACGTCCTCACCCGGACACCCCGTTTTCTTGGGGACATGTTGGCCAGATGATAGGTGCAGGGGATGAGTATGATGGTGGGGAGGCGAGTGCCCAGGAACCTGCAGGAGGGAAGATGCTCCGGCATGCGCCAGGCATAGGGGCTGAACTTGACAGTTTTCTATTTTTAGTTTTTGAAACAGGGTCTCGCTCTGTTACCCCAGCTGGAGTGCAGTGGTGCGATTCGGGCTCACTGCAGCCTCAACCTCCTGGGCTCAAGCCATCCTCCAGACCCAGCCTCCCAAAGTGCTGGGATTACAGGCTCGAGTTGCCGTGCCCAGCCCGGTTCTTTAGACACTGCAGGGGTGGCAGCAGGTGCAGCAGAGGTGAAAATAGGATTTACAGAGTATTGGGTGCAGGTCACCAGGGCCAGAGAGAGGTGAGAGTCCCTTAATGGATGGGTGGTCCTGGCAGCCCCTGAGAGGGCAGTGAGGGCTTTGGACAGAGGGCTGGGTCATGACAAGGACACAGGAATGGCCGCAGGAGGCTACGGGCGTCAGTGTAGGAGGGAAGGGTACTGGCTACACATATCACCAGGGGTCCCACGAAGAGCATGGGGAGGACAGGGAATTTGGGGGAGGGGTGCAGATGAGGGGACCCTGGAGGTGAGGCTGCTCAAGAAGCAGCAATGGAGGCCGGGCGCCGTGGCTCACTCCTGTAATCCCAGCACTTTGGGAGGCTGAGGCAGGTGGATCACCTGAGGTCAGGAGTTCAAGACCAGCCTGACCAACATGGAGAAACCCCGTCTCTACTAAAAATACAAAATTAGCCAGGCGTGGTGGCACACGCCTGTAATCCCAGCTACTCAAGAGGCTGAGGCAGGAGAATTGCTTGAACCTGGGAGGCAGAGGTTGCGGTGAACCGAGATCACGCCACTGCACTCCAGCCTGGGCAACAAGAGTGAAACTCCGACTCAAAAAACAAAAGCAGCAGCAATGGGGTGATATGGGGTGAGGAAGGGATCGAGCCAATTAATTGCTCTCTGATTTGCTTCATGTCTTCTGAGTTATCTAGAAGTGGTTCTCAGTCTTTGTTTTCTTAAGGGTTTCAAACATAATTGAATTTTCAGAACCAGTGAAGTAGCTCACGTCTGTAATGCCAGCACTTTGGGAGGCTGAGGCAGGAGGGTTGCTTAAGGCCAACAGTTTGAGACCAGACTGGATAACATAGATCCCATCTCTACAAAAAAATTTAAAATCAGCTGGATGTGGCCGGGCGAGATAGCTCGTGCCTGTAATCCTAGCACTTTGGGAGGCCGAGATGGGTGGATCACCTGAGGTCAGGAGTTCAAGATCAGCTTGGCCAACATAGTGAAATCCCATCTTAAAAAAAAAAAA